CTTATATTCTAATATTTATATGTATACACCTTATTGTTACTTATGAGATCTTGTGTCAATACCTTTTAATATTTGTCAAAAGGGTAGTGCGCTGCCTAAGAAAGTCGAACTTAGAAGGGAGATTAATTTGACTCCTCCGGCGATCTGAGATCTTACTTGGTTATTGACCATAGGACTTATTAAGTGACTCTCCCTTGACTGCAATCTATAGTGTAGATTCGGGGCGTCACACTCTAGGTTGGTGAAGTTGAGTATGTTGATATTGTGAAGAGTTACAATTTGGGGTAAAATAGAGTTTGTAGATTGCTTTACTCAGTGCATGAGTTGGTGTTTATTGTGCAGTAATTTGGAAGATAATTGGGTTAGTGGGTGTTGGACTTCGGGTTGATTAGGGTGGTTTTGGAGAACAAGGTGGTGTTGTAATCTTGCAATTGTTCTAAACTACTGTCTTCAGCTATGTCATAGGGAAGTTTGCTCAAGTTACAGTGGTCTGCGATTATGCTGTCACTGGTTTTGCATTGTTGTTGTTGGCTGGTTTGTGTGGTTGTTTCTACTCTTAGGCGTTGTTTGTTCTTTTCTGTTTCCTCGTTTCTTTGTTGATTGGTTCCTCACTAATCTTGGGTCAAGTGCTAGTATATGATTGTGTTTCATTTGTGGTGCTAACCTAGTTGGGATTGTTTAGGTTAGTTTTGATGCTCTCTACACTTCCCTGCTTTGTTGATGATTGTCTTGTTTTGTATCTTGATTTTTTCATTAATCAAAATTTTTTTGCTGATTAAAAAAAATAAAAAAATTATAGTGTTACATTAAGGAGTTTTTGCGTGTGTTACATTAGAGTATTACATTAAAGAGTTTTTTTGTGTGTTATATTAAAGTATTACGTTTGAAAAAAATACATTAAAGAGTTTTTTTGTATTACATTAGTGTGTTATAATAAGAAATTTTTGTATGTGTTACTTTAAAGTGCTATACGAAAGAGTTTTTTTGGAGTGTTATATTTGGAAAAGTACAATGAAGAGTTTTTTTTTTATGTGTTATATTAATGTTATGTTTGGATGTTAATTAATGTTAATGTTATAATGTCACGACCCGAACCCGCCCTCATGGGTTAAGGACGTAACCGGCCAGTAATCCTGAGATTACCTATGGCCTTAAACCAAAATAGACATAAGTCAACAGAGTAGAGGGGCCAAACGGAAGCAATAATCACAAACTTTGTCCATAGAGCCGTGCTTATATGCACTTCAAAACAAACCAAACTCATATACGTTAATAACCCACGTCAAAAGTACAGTACTATAAAATTATTTACAGACAGGATCATCTAATTAAGTCAACCCATGACAGACTATTTACAAATATACACAGAGTCCTTGCCGGCAAGACAAAATATAATTACGTAACAAAAAGGCAAGGATAGGTCTCAAGAGTGAGACGTAAGGCCGACTTCCTCTAAACTCGTATTTTTCTTAGCAGACTTCACTGGGGCTGGGTTTGGACTTCCCTTGGCTCACCTACAAATACATGAATGAGCGTGAGCGATAGCCCAGTGAATAATATCAAATACAGAAGTCATATAAACAATATGTAGAACAACGTACTCCAAATGGCCTTGGGCCCAATTCATATTCCTACTTAACATATGTACATTTATACAAAGTTTAGATCAAGTGACTGTAGTTCTAAACATATTGACCTTTGGCCCATTCTAATTTCCATCTACGTCAAAACGGCCTCCGGCCCATTCATTCTTGTCAAAACGGCCTTTGGCCCGTTCATTCTTGTCAAAACGGCCTTCGGCCCATTCATTCTTGTCAAAACGGCCTTCAGCCCATTCATTTATATCAAAATGGCCTTTGGCCCATTCATTTGTGTCAAAACGGCCTTCGGTCCACTCATTCATGTCAAAACGGCCTTCGACCCATTCATTTATATCAAAACGACCTTTGGTCCGTTATCTCTATCAAAACGACCTCTGGTCTATTCATTTATTCGTATCAGACTTTTGTCCACGATCCCAATTAGCAAATTCATAAGGCTTATAAGGGAATAACAATTGGACATTCACAAGCTTTCAAATATTGATTTTACTCACAATGATCGGCTTGTGGATTTGCCCTGGAGCTTGACCCTACACATTTCATGAATACAAAAGGGTCACTAACAGTTCAATCCGTTCCTTGCTTCATATGTTCCTCATTAGGCTTTATTCATATCTCATTAATTCATTTACAATGCTTAACATATGCCTAAGAGTGCTTACAAGTGAAAGAGAACGGAAAACAGAACTCAGAATGCAAAAACAGAATCTCAGCAAAACAAGGTCCCCGCTCGAGCGTGGACTTACCCGCTCGAGCGGACCCCTGGGGCCTGCAAAAGTACTGGATATAAGAAATTTACGCTCGAGCGTTAAATCTGGCGCTCGAGCGGAAGGCCTCTTTACATGGCTCCCCGCTCGAGCGCGAACTTACCAGCTCGAGCGGAAGCCATGCCTGCAAAAAAGTTCTGGATGTCTTATTTTTACGCTCGAGCGTGACCTAGGACGCTCGAGCGGAAGTCCATTCTACGTAGCTCCCCGCTCGAGCATGGACTTCCCCGCTCGAGCGGACATCAAGGGCTGCCGAAAATATACTGGGAGCACGTATTTCCCGCTCGAGCGGCAGTTCCCCCGCTCGAGCGGACATCAAAATTTGGAAATTCCAGATTGAGTTCTTGAGCTCCAATTCGAAATCTCAGTCTCAATACTTGCATGCAATGGCTCAAATCTCAAATATAATCATACTAACATGGTATTAATGCAAGATTATAACATTATGGAGTTCAATTTCTTGATTTATCTACATGCATGTCTCACAACATGTCAACTCAACATCAACATAACAAACTCATGCATTCAAGCTCATGTCTTCTCAAATTGTATATGCATGTGATGAATTAGCCACATCCTCAACTTAGATGGCACAAATGATGATTATAACATGAGCTTCAATTAAAATTGTACATGGATTATACAAAACATGCAAATTCAAGGTACTTTCTTACATGCATGCACATAATGGCCTTCAATTCAACCAAACCACTTCAATTTCCTCATAATCAAACTAAATCATGTTCTTGACCATTATTTCAACTTGAATTCACAAAATTACAACTTAATATTCATGGATTCACTTACCTAGAGGCTTGATTCTCCCAATCTATGGTCAAAACTTGAATAATCTTCAAGGCTCCCAAGCTTTGAGCTAAGTTTGCTCAATTCTCTTCTCTCCTCCTCTCTACAGCCGGCTCTCTCTTCCTCTCAATAGTCTAACTCAAATTTTGAGTTCATAAGGGCTAGAGGGGAGTGTAATGCTATCATACAACAAGGCCTATTAACATAATATTTTAATATAAAATATTTGGGTACTAATTCATCAATTAAATCGACTTAATTTGGCCAGAATAAATTTTCAATTAAATTTCACCGTAGGCTCTAAAAATTATGCCAATCACAATGGCGTAATCAATTTCGGGTTCCGTGGCCGATAAGGCCTTCAATTTAATTTTCAAAACAGATTATTCAAACAGGTATTCCTACGGTGAACAGATAAGACTTCAAAATCACAAACATTCACATAATGACACATAAAATCATGCTAAACACATAATCATACTCAAATTAAAGACTAATTAGCATATTACTGGACAGTGGTATCACATATAATGTCGATGTTACAATAGAGACGAACACCACAAAAAAAATAAAAATAAACACCACTTCAATAACACCACAAACGAGGTAATATCATCCACCTACAAATCACTTCACTAAAGCCCCACAAAAAAAAATAAAAAAAATAAAAACGTAAAAACCTACTTTACCTATACACATCCAACATTAGGAAAAAATCCAAATAAAATCATACACAAGGGCAAACAAGTAAACTTTCAACCCCCAAATCAAAGAAATATAACATATCCAAAATAAAAAAGGATTGATTGGTTTGAAAAAAAACTTTTAGGACTAAATGGAATAATTTTTCTCTAAATGGGATTTATGAATAATTTTTCCTATATAAATATATAATGTAATTTTTTTGATAGTTTTTTGAGCAACTTTTATTATTATCCTTGCAATTTGAGATGTCTCACTCATTACTTTTGTTTTTGAATAAATTTTACCCACATTCTCAAAATTTAAAAAAACATATATAGGTTTCGTTTGGGAAGCCATGGTTTGGGTTTTTTTTGGCTATTTTAGTCACAAAAAATAAAATAGGTTATTTTAGGCATAACAAACAAAACATCACATCCAACCCATAATCATTACATTCTTCTCTCACAAAAAAACTCAAAAAAGTCAAAAAGCCAAAAAGCCCTTCCCAAACCAAGCTTTTAAGCCCAGGCTAAAATAGCCAAAAAAGGCCAAAAAACCAAAAAACCAACCCACTTCCCAAACGGAGGCATAGTAAGTTTCACCAATTTAATATAATTTTAAAAATTTTAGTATGAATTTGGTAACAAGTTAAATAGTTTATTGATTTATTTCTGTCATATCATTTTTTTATTTTATTTTTATACGTTTTTTATAATAAATCAAAAAGTAAAAAAATAAGTCATACTCAAACTCACATTTATATAACTCTTAAACATTAATCATATAAATTAAAAAATAATAATCATATTTTTTACTGTAATATATATTTTATTGTGCACGAGGTGTTTTGAAAAGTAAATTAAAAGTTAATTTTTTAATTTTTTATAATTATTTTATTTTTTTATAAATAAAAAATATAAGAAGCGATATAAAGTTTATTAAAAGTTGATTTTTAATTTTTTTTATAACTATTTTATCATTTTATAAATAAAAAATATAAGGAGTGTTATAAATTAAAATGGGTTAAAAGTACTTTTAATTGGATTGTCAAAACGGCCCTGTAATAATTTTTGCTGCTTAAAGTAATTTTAGTTATTTTTTGTTTTTTTATGGTGCTTTTATTCCTTTTTTTGGGGTGGTTGTTTCTTGAGCGTTAACCAAAAGAAGAAAGAAGATGAGGTATGTGGTCTTCCTTGGTCTTTACTTGAACCATTCATGTCGGTATATATGTTTATAGGGTTTCAAAACATAAGGAAACCATCAACATGCTCTCTATCTTCCTTGAAAATTTTTCTAGGGTTTCTGACATATATTTCCCATCCCCACTAACAAAAATTTTCACATCAATATTCTCTTGATCTTCGTCATACAGATCTGCAAAACCCAGAAAAGCCTTTGGCTTTTTTCTTCTATTGGGTTGATCTGGGTTGAGAGATCAACCTTATCCTCTTAAACCCTTTTATATTTTTGGAAACTCTTTATGGGTTTTGAAAATTGAGTAGTGCTCTTTCTTTCTGTTTCTCTTGAACCCCTTGTAGGATCTAAAGATTTTCTCATTTGGGTTTTTTTTATTTTTCGTTTCTTGGGATTTTCTTTCATTTTCTTGAGGTGTAACTGTAAGCATGGTGAGAGGGAAAACTCAGATGAAAAGGATAGAAAATGCTACAAGTAGGCAAGTGACTTTTTCTAAACGCAGAAGTGGGCTTCTCAAGAAGGCCTTTGAGTTATCAGTCCTTTGTGATGCTGAAGTTGCACTCATCATCTTCTCTCCAAAAGGGAGGCTCTATGAGTTCTCAAATTCCAGGTAGTTTCCTTCTTCACCCTCCTCAGATCTTTAGAAAAAAAAAAACCCATTTTGTTCTCTCACCTTGCTTGTAAAAACTACGAATTTTTATGTTTCTAAAAGATGGTACATTTTTAAATTCAATTTAATATAGTTTATTACAGTAAGAACTAGCCCATAAAGTACAGTAATCACAGGCTTTATCTGTAGAGAAGGGTCTACTCCCAATAGTTTGATATCTTCTGCTTTGGAATCAAATCTTACCTAATCATCTATGTTTATGAAGACTTAATTTACATTGACCAGGTTACAAGTGTAGCTTAGTGAATATAACATTAAAATGTATAATTAATTTTTTTATGTTTTTAAAGTTTTGGGATTTTAAGAGTCTGTAGGATAGATTTAACGTATTTAAGTTTAATACATGTTGATTTGTGTGATAGGAAGATGAATATATTTATTGGAAGAGTCTAGATGTATTCTATGTCCTTTGTATCAGAGACTAGTGATAATTGTAGGAGTACACACAAGTAGAAGAAAATAAAGTTGGAGAAGAAAAGAAAGATACTTGTATTACTTGTAGCACATCCAACCTTCATCAAAATTTTCATTTAATTTGATTCTAAATTTGAGTAAAAAATTTGATTTGATATGAAGTATTCCAACCATTCCATCAAAATCTTAAAATTTTTTTTGTCTCTTGTCCCACCAAATTTATCCTTTAATCAAATATGATGAAAAACAATCATCTCCAATACTTCATCGTTTTTAATTTTAATTTAATGAAGGATTTGATGAATTTTCAATTTAATGGAAAAATGTCTCTCTATCTTGATTTGATGAACAATTGATGAATGAATTGAAGATAATTTTTTAACACTTTTTCATCAAATTTAAATTTGATAAAAAAAAGAAAAAGAAAAAGTTATGTATTGGAGTTGCTCTTTGGAGTTCTGTAATCTTCAAAAAAAATTTGTTTATCGTATTTATTTTGTTGAACTTTAGTTAGTGCCCATCAAGTTGTATCTACCATGAGTTGTAGACGGAATGAATCTCATTACTTTTGAACATCATGTAATCCGGGTTCTACACTAAGGCCTTGTTTGACATATACTCAAAAAGTCAAATAGTCACTATCCTATTTAAGTCACATTATCTTATTTAAGTTACATTATCTCTCTACTATATCACTTCAATCCCAACTCATATCCAACCCATATTTCATAAGAAGTCAAAAAATATACTTATTTAGAATATCTCAAACAACCCCTAAGTTTACATATTTAGTTATCATGTTATCGTGTTGTGTGATGATTAGGGTCGTTTAAAAAATAATCTATCCTAATCAATTATTTTGTGTGTGGTTCATGTCATGTTTAAAACACAAAGAAAGAAGGGTGTTGGTCATAATAGTTTCCAATAAATAAATAAATAAATAAAATGTACAAATTCAAGAGAAAGCCAAAAATTAAATAGAGAGGAGAATATAGTTTTAGGCTAATGGATTGTTTGAGGTGCTAAGGGTGGTCTATACTGATACATGAACTTGGAAATTGGAAATCAATATCAGAGAAATACTAATAAAATCTACTATTACAAATTATAATTAACAAATGTTACTGAAATGGAAGAATTTGATTCAATGAAATGATCATCTGCTACAAGACATTTAAACAGTTTGCATAGTATAAAACAAAAACAGTCAGACCATCGTCCCCTGTCCATGTGTGAAGCTAATGTCCTTTTGCTCAATGGTGAAGAGAGGTGTCCTTTGGCTCAATGGTGGGGCAAGTTTGAGCTTTTTTTACACACAAGCACAAGAAAGATATTTGTAAGAAGCAGGTATCAGATACCAACAATGATTGAGCCTTGAGCAACTTAGGCTTCATTTGGCATAGAGGGTTTAGGCTAAAATAGGTACAAAAAGATAGAATAGGTTAAAAAGTCTATAAAATAAAATGTCACATCTAAACCATAATTATTTAATTTATTTTTCTCACGAAAGTCAAAAAGTCAAAAAGTCCATCTCAAACGAAACTTTTTAGCTCCAAGCTAAAATAGCAAAAAAGTCAAAAAACCAACCCACATCCCAAATGAAGGCTTAGTATTTTTGTGTCTATTAAATCTTGTTTGATCATTTTTTTGTTTGTTTGTTTGTTTGTCTTGGGTATCATATCAATCAATTTTTAACTGCGAAGAATAGACAAAACTAATATTTAAATGTTCTTGCCGTGAGTAATTTTTTCCCCCCATGTTTTGTGGAGATGCCTCAGTATTAGCAAGACAATAGAACGGTATCAGAGAAATACCAAGGAGCAAGACGGAAGTGGCAGAAAAGAAGCTGAAGAAAATTTGCAGGTCAGCACTCCTTTTCTTTGTTTATTACCAGTGTTGTCGCAATTTTTTTTTTCAGCAGCAAGCAAATAAAATTTTATTGACAATTAGAAAGATTAAAAGATACAGAAGCTTGGAAAGAAATTGCATCATTGTCTAAGCTAAATATCCAAATTATGTTGACACCCAAAGTAAGACTAATCATATGCGTTCCAAAGCCCCCAAAAGAAGTAAGAGAGATTCTAACTCCAAACACTCCACAAACCTCCTCCAATACTACTTTCAATTCTCAAGACACATCAACACCCCCAAAAACATACACCCTATACCCTTCCACCTATACAATATCTAATTTGTGAATTGTCGTAGAGGAAATCATTAATCGAGAAGTGGAACTCCTTTGTTGTAGCCTTTAACCATATTGCGAGCCAGGAAGTGGAAATCATTAACCAGTGTTGTTGCAATAACAAAACTCTTTAGATCAATTGCTTTAAAGTGACCCAACATGGTTCTTTAACTATTTTGTTTTGTGATGTCAGTTTTCATGCGCAGGCAGGAGTCCTGGACATATGCTCCTATATTGGTTGTGTTTCTGTTTTTATTTTTCAGAAAGCTTAGAAAACTAGTTGGGCAAACTGTGTTTGGAAAAAATTCTGAAAACAATCCACTTTTTAGGATACATCAAAAAGTTGTTTTCATACTTTTGAAAACTCAAAAACAAAAACAAAAACACAACCAAACAGGCTATCTTATCTACTACGGCTGCCTTATATTTTTAAATAAAATGACAACTTAATAGAACTTTTATTTATTTTCAGAGAGAATAAAGTGGACAATTAATGTATTGATAAAGTCCGTTAAAAAAAAAAACAATGTATTGATAAAGTGAAATGAGGTGTTTAGCATTTTATTGTTATATTGCCATACTACATGATTGAGGTGTTTGAATAATAATAAACAAATAAATAAAAACAAACAAACGAACGACATGTTGGAGATCACTTTCTCTAATCCTTTTCTCGTTATAAGTTAATCCAATTTTTCTAATCATGGAGTGTTGTTAATTGGCATCATTCTTCTTGTTCCACAAAAACAACAATAATGTTCTACAAATTGTCAAATTATATTTTAAGAACACAACCCTGAACAATATTAGAAAGGGGTAACAATCCTAATTTCGGGTTTATTGCAATGTTTTATGACATTTGTGGTAAAATCTTCATTGCATTCATTGTAAAAACTTTACTCACACAATGACTGCTCGACACGAATACAGCATTTGAAGGAAGAAGCTGTTTCCATGTCACAGAAGATTGAACTTATTGAAGCCTCTAAACGGTTAGTGCTTAGTTTGAGACCTTTATTACTCACCTCATTTATAATTCCGCTTATCAATCATATTGATAACTCGCTTTAAACTTTTGAAATCTACATACTATAGAAAGCTCTTGGGTGATTGTTTGGAGTCTTGCTGTATCAATGAGCTACAACTAATAGAAGAACAGTTGGAGAAAAGTTTACACAACATTAGGGCAAGAAAGGTATATTCAGTCACATCATTGAACTCCTTGAATTAATCACGAAACACATAATTTAATACGGCTGATGTTGCTAATTCTCAGACTCTTTTATATAAGGAGAAGATCGAGCAATTGAAGGAAGAGGTAAATTGCATGCTAGAACATCTCTACACACATGCTAATATTAGTTCGAGATTCAGTAGGCCTCGTTTGGGAACATGTTTTTTTAGTATATTTTTTAACTTTTAGCTAAAATATGATGTAAAAAAAATTAGTATGTTTGAGATGATTTTTTGATTTTTACGAAAAGATGTGCAAAAAATAAAAAGAATTTTTTTTATGATTTTTTGGTATGAGTTGTTGGCTTTTTAATTTTTTTTAGTGACTTTTTAATTTTTAGGTTAAAAATTAATGTTGCCAAATGAGATTATGAAAAAAAATTCCACGGAAACTTGCATTCCTTTTCTGTCTTTCGTGCAAGTTTTTGTGATTTTTTTCAGTGTGAGTAACACAATTGTTTGTGATTTGCTGATTATTGTTACTCTTATTTATTTATTTCACAGGAGAAAATCCTAACGGAAGAAAATCAAAAATTACGGGAGAAGGTGAAGTATTACATATATATATATATATATATTTATATCGTACATCAATGTTTTATTTCTATGTATATTATACAGCTTGCATTAGAATCAAGGAATAAAACATTGGTATAAAGGGAAATATTGGAAGTCCAAAATATGAAAATATTGATGGATATATTAAAAGTGTACATTGATCACATTTTTTGGAAAAAAAAAAATGAAAAGAAAAGAAAAAAAAAATCAATTTGATATCGACACAGTAATTATTAAAATATTACAACATCTAATTATATCACCACTGGGTATGGTTGAAACATTTATAAACATACAAATAAGTATATTTGAAATATTTATAAACAAAAAATCTATATATATATTATAAGTAAAAGGGGGTTTTCTTAAGGAGTATTGTGAGAGTTTTAAAACCTCATAATGAATTTGTGGATTTATTGAATTAAAAAATAAGTTAAAAAAATAGTATTGGCTAATCCATTAAAGTAATAGTTTTCAAAATATTAATAATTTCGTAATTTATAATTTTTAAAAGGAAAGATAAAAAAAAATATTCTATATAGCTTTCCAACCTAATCATCTCCAATTGATTTTTATTTCTTTTAAAAAAAATAAAAAATTGCTTCTTACTATATTACTATATTATTCATACCATATATAATTACTCTCAAATCTTTAAAATTCAGATGAAAATTAAGAATCTTCAAAATATTTTGATTTAATTACACGCATTAATTTCTTTTGTACATTTTTTTTTCTTTTTTGATTTATTTTGTGCACTCATATGTGCTAATATTTATGCCTAAATTATATATATTTTAATACATGTGATGGGTGTGAAAAGAAATTAGATGTGTGATTATAAGCACCCTTCCTATTAGTCACATTCATTGATTTTGTTTCAAAAATAAATTAAAAAAAAAATCTATACCTGATTAATTTAATTATTTAGTTAATGGATTTTCACTCTACTGAAAGACAATTTTTTAGTATTTTTTTAAGATGGTAACTTCATTTCACAAATAATTAGTTATTTTTAAAATATTAAAACATTTTACGGGAAAATTTGTATTAAATAAAATTTTAATTAAATTTAAATTGAAAATTATGATTTGTTTTGGGACTTCATTTCTTTGATCAATTTTTGTACCAAAAATAAAATTTATGAACTAATTTAATCTGACTTTAAATAATTCTTTTAGATGTAAATATAATTTAATATTAGACATATTTTAAGAATAAATGTGTAATTTCTTAATTGAAGTTTTAGAGTATTAATAAGTATGCCAAATATATATTCATATATATATATTTTTTTGGTTATAAATTTTTTTACAATGTTTTTACCATTTTAAAAAATAATTAAGTGGTCAATATGATGGTTGGACATGAAACAAAACGATTATCTAAAAATTGGATTGATATATAGCATAAAAATCAACCAAATTCAATCTATACACTACTTTTAGTATTTGATCCAATATTAGTTCATATCCATCATAATTTAACAAATTATTAAATATAAACTTAAATTGAATATTATTAACTATTTTAACTAATTAACTGATCAATTTTTAAATTGAATCCAAGGTAGAACTAGAACAAGCTTTATATTTTAGGTCGATCTAGTATTATATAATTTTTTCATACATAAATATACTTAATTATTTGTCTAAGAATTTTTCATATAAATATATAAATTTTTACAAAAAATAAATAAATATGCCAAAAATATACATACATTTTCTTATTTTTGTTAAAAAAAATAACCATAATATATTTACCGATTTAAAATAAGTGGGTTAAGTGATTGTAAATTGGGCATGAATGAGGATAATTCTCCAAGAATTTAAATGTAGGCATAAAAGTTGATCTTAATCTAACGTCTAAACAACTTTTAATGTTTAATACGAATACTATTCCTCAAATTAGTTCATAATATTTGAAACTTGAGAAATTATAATATAATTTAAATTGATTATTACCAATTATTTCTATTAATTGATCGATCAAAATTTTAAATCAATTACAAAATATGGTTGAAATAATGTCCATATTTTAGGTTGACCTTGGATAGTTTTTTCACATATAAGTACAGTTTACTATTCATGTAATAATTTTAAATATAAATATAAAATTGTATCAAAGTTTTAATTTTTTTTTAATAATTATGCATACATATTTATTATTTTCTTATAAAAAATACTAACATATATTTATTCACTAATTTAATAAATAAATGAGTTAAGTGGTCATATTTAGGCATAGATTAAGACAATTCTTTAATGACTATGTGATGACCAAACTAAGATAAATGTTGAGTCAATTAGATTAATTATGACACTTTTAGTGTCTAACATAATTATAAATCTTCAAGTCAAATCCTCAAACCAACTCTTATATATTTTATTTTAAAAATAACTAACATCTATTTATTCACCAATTTAATATATAAACGAGTTATGTGGTTCATATTTAGGCATAGACTAAGACAATTCTCTAATAATTAGGTTATGGTCAATTTGGAATAAATGGTGAGTCAATTAGATTATGTCACTTTTACTGTCTAACACAACTATAAATCCTCAATAATTATAAATATAAATATAAAATTTTATCAATTTTTTTTTTTTTTAAAAATAACTATGCATAAGCATGTACATATTTATTATTTTATTATAAAAAAGACTAACATATATTTATTCACTAATTTAATAAATAAATGAGTTAAGTGGTTCGTGTTTAGTCATAAATTAAGCCAATTCTTTAATGATTAAGTTATGGCCAAGTTGAGATAAATGTGGAGTCAATTAGATTATGTCACTTTTACTATCTAGCACAACTATAAATCCTTAAGCAAACTCTTATATATTTTATTATAAAAAATACTAATATATATTTATTCACTAATTTAATAAATAAATGAGTTAAATGGTTCATACTTAGATATTTATTCACTAATTTAATAAATAAATGAGTTAAGTGGTTCATACTTAGGCATAGATTAAGACAATTCTCTAATAATTAGGTCATGGCTAAGTTGAGACAAATATTGAGTCAATTAAATTATGTCACTTTTAGTGTCTAACACAACTTTAACTCCTCAATAATTTTAAATATAAATATAAAATTTTATCAAAGTTTTAATTTTTTTTAATAATTATGCACAAACATGTACAGATTTATTATTTTATTATAAAAAATACTAATATATATTTATTCACCAATTTAATAAATAAATGAGTTAAGTGGTTCATGTTTATACATAAATTATGACAATTCTCTAATGATTAGGTCATGACCAAACTGATATAAATGATGAATCAATTAGATTAATTATGTCACTTTTAGTATCTAACACAATTATAATCCTCAATCCAACTCTTATATATTTTATTTTAAAAATAACTAACATATATTTATTCACCAATTTAATATATGAATGAGTTAAGTGGTTATATTTAGGCATAGAGTAAGACAATTCTCTAATAATTATATCATGGTCAAGTTGAGATAAATGTTGAGCTAATTACATTATGTCACTTTTAGTGTCTAACACAACTATAAATCCTCAATAAATATAAATATAAATATAAATTTTTATCAAAATTTTCATTTTTTTAATAACTATGCATAAACATGTACATATTTATTATTTTATTATAAAAAATATTAACATATATTTATTCGCCAATCTAATAAATAAACGAGTTAAGTGGTTTATGTTTAGTCATAAACTAAGACAATTCTCTAATGATTTAGTCACGGTCAAGTTGAGATAAATGTTGAGTTAATTAAATTATGTCACTTTTAGTATCTAGCACAACTATAAATCCTCAAACAAACTCTTATATATTTTGTTATAAAAAAATAATAATATATATTTATTCACCAATTTAATAAATAAATGAGTTAAGTGGTTCATGCTTAGGAGTAGACTAAGACAATTCTCTAATAATTACTTCATGGCCAAGTTGAGATAAATGTTAAATTAATTAAATTATGTCACTTTTAGTGTCTAGCACAATTATAAATCCTCAATAATTTTAAATATAAATATAAAATTTTATCAAAGTTTTAATTTTTTTAATAACTATGCATAAATATGTACATATTTACTATTTTATTATAAAAAATACTAACATATATTTATGTACCAATTTAATGAATAAATGAATTAAGTGGTTCATGTTTAGATATAGACTAAGACAATTATCTAATGATTAGGTCATGGTCAAGTTAAGATAAATATTGAGTCAATTAGATTGTGTTACTATTAGAGTATAGCATAACTATAAATCCTTAAGCGAACTCTTACATTTTTTACCATGAAAAAATACTAACATATTTATTTACCAATTTAATAAATAAATGAGTTAAGTGGTTCTTATATATATATATATATATATTTGATCGGCAAATGTTAGTTGTTAGATTAGTAACTATGAGAGAAAATCTCTCCATCATTGGGAAAGCATCTAAGTGCTTGTACTCTCTTAATTCAACTCCCCTAAGAGTGCTTGTACTCTCTTAATTCAACAACCCTAAGAGGAAATGAACCCATGACCTCTTTGGAATTAAACCCTAAAGAAGGCATGGTGGCCAAATAAGCTAGGCCTAGTTGGTTAAGTGGTTCATACATAGGCATAGACTAAGACAATTCTCTAATAATTAAATCATGGCCAAGTTGAGATAAATGTTGAGTTAATTAAATTATGTTACTTTTACTGTCTACCACAGGTATAAATCCTCAATAATTTTAAATATAAATATAAAATTTTATGAAAGTTTTAATTTTTTTTTATTTATTAACTATGCATAAACATGTACATATTTATTATTTTATTATCAAAAATACTAATACATATTTATTCACCAATTTAATAAATAAATTAGTTAAGTGTTTCATGTTTAAGCATAGATTAAGACAATTCTTTAATGATTAGGTCATGGCCAAGTTGAGATAAATGTTGAGTTAATTAGATTATGTCAGTTTTAGTGTCTAGCACAACTATAAATTCTCAAGCCGACTCTTATTTTTTTGTATTTGTGAATTATGGCATAGGAGAAACTATAATTTTATGCCTAAATAGACATATTTTTTAACTTTTGCAAAATAGACAATGTGTAGTTAATAAATTGACAAATATAATTTATTATATGATTGAACTATCTTTGACATAAAATAAACTAAATTGCAAAATTTATAGGACAAAATGCATTTATATTTCATTGTAAAAATAATTTTTGTAATTTTATTGCACTCTTTAAAAAATACATTCTACTATAGTTTGTTTATTTCTTATAAATAAATTTTATGTTATTATTTAATTTCAAAATTAATTGTTAATTATTTATTTTTTTGTTGAGAGAGAAGTATTTTTTTTATCTATGCAATATTGCCAATATTTCATGATATTTTGCAATACTTACAAATAAAAAAATAAAAAATGCTGCAATGTTTGCAATACATTTGAGTTTTTTTTTTTTTTTTTTTTTACTCCGTTAATATATTGTATTGTATGGCTTAAAACCTTGATACATTAAGCAAATGATATATTTTGTAATATTTTATTTTGTGATTAGAAAATAATAGATCAGGGTTGGTGACATGGTGCACTTGAATAATATTTTACCACCATTATTCTTCAGTGTGAGGTGCGATCGCCACATCTGCCAATTCCGCTGCTAGTAGCTCCCGAGCCTAATCGTGAATTTTCAGATGTTGAGACGGAATTGTTCATAGGACTACCCGAACAACGAACTACTCATTCTCTGTAGCCATTACAATTGTTTAGAGCAAATATGTACTCTCAGATGCAGTCTATCTATTGTTTTTAGTGCCTATCAAATGTATATGATATGTTAATAGTGTTTGCACAATTTTCATGATCTGCCCTATGAAAATAATTGTGATGCCAAGTGTTATATGAAATGGGAATGCAATAATAATTTAAGGAATTGTACCATAGAAATTCATGATTTGTTTATTTAGCACAGGAAATTAAAGTGTATTTCTTATTATTCTTTTCCAGTTTGTTTATGTGGAAGTAAAAGTAACCCAAGAAAATTAAGGAAATTCTATTTTTGCACGCCTACTTATCTCAATGTACACATTTATAAATTTTATTAGGTATTATTTGTCTTATTCCACTCTGTAAAGAACCAGAAAATCTTATGGAAGAGATAAGGAAATTTGGGAGAAATCTCTATGTTTTATTGAATAGCAAACTTGGCCACTTTATAGCCTTACAGAGCAAAACAAAAATAACAGCCTACATTTAACAAATCCTAAAAACATGGTAAGACTAATTCAATTAACCAACTAACCCTTAACAATAGGGATTTATTGACAGAGTGGTAACAAACCACTAAAGCAACCTAACTTCTAAAATATCAAAACTTAACAATTCCTCCCTTAAACTGAATACTACAAGCAATCAGTTTATATCCATCTCAGAACAAACTCCCAATAGCCCTTGCACGTTCAAGAAAACATCCAGTTTGAGTGGTTTAGTCATCACATCAGCTAACTTGTCATGACCCGAACCCGCCTCTCTGGGTTAATGTCACGACCCAAACCCGGCCCTATGGGTTTAGCACCGTAACTGGCCAGTAATCCGAGATTACCAAAGGCCTGCAGAACAGTAGTACAGTAAAACAGAGTACAGGGCCTGGCGGAAGCCAAAACAGTAATTGAACAATGCCTAATGAGCTGTGACAGTCTGTATGCAAAAAGACTTTTTATACATATATACATAAACAGTACAGAACAGTATGCACAATATTTACAATCATTCAGACTAGGGACTCAATCCCTACATAACAGTACAGTAAACCTTCAGTCTATACAGAACAGTAAGACGGTACAGAAGGGGGAAATCTAAAACACCCCTAAGCCTTAACAGATAGGCTCGGAACCTCGCAGTGAGGCACATGGGCTGGCTTGACAAAACTGGAGTAACCCTGACGCTCCTAGCCGCGGTCTGGTGCTTGTACACCTACATATATATATATAAACAGTGAGCTAAAGCCCAGTGAATAACATAATGCGTAAGGAGGTTAAGAATGAAATGTCCTTACAGTAATGAAATCGGTTCATCAAACAATACTTCAGTCTTTCAGTCAGAACAGTTATTCAATCATATGTGGTACATCCATTAGCTTAGCAGTAAACAGTAGGTCTTAAAGACCGAACAGTAATGATGGCCATCAATCAGTAAACAGTAGTGGTTCCACGAGGGAACCGACATAGATCTTTGTAACAGTAGCAGTAACAGTACACAACAGTTGCTAAGGATGCCACAATACATTTCAAAATATAGGACATACATTCAAACAATTAACAATAATTACTTCAGAAAACAGTTTCGTTAAACAGTCAGAAAACATTCTCAGTTGAACATATCTTTACACAATTGTTACTCACAGAGTTTGGGCTACAGTAAGCTAGAGCGCGTCTCCCCAATCGCCAATCCTACACAGTTAACAGATTGAACACACACTAAGCTATACAGCTGGGAAAGATAACAACTTAATCCCTAATTTGCCTCGGTGTGTTCTACATCTATATTCTCAAGAAGATGTCTTAAACTAGGCCTAGGAATGCCTAGAATGGGATGAGGATGCAAAGATGTACTCAAAAGCAGTTTCAGAATTTAGTAGAAAAACAGAGTCCCGCTCGAGCGCAGGTTTCCCCGCTCGAGCGGTCATGCAACAAAGGTACACGCTCGAGCGTCAATTTTCCAGCTCGAGCGTACTGTAAAAGTACTGGATGGGTGAAATCTGCGCTCGACGGGCGCTCGACGCCCGCTCGATCGTGAGACACATGCCTCCGCTCGAGGGCCCAATCCTCCGCTCGAGCGGACTGTAAAACAGTGCAGAGATACTGGATGCTCGGATTCCTCGCTCGAGCGGCTCTTACCCCGCTCGAGCGGAAGTGCAAAATCTGGAAATTCCAGATTGCACCTCCAAGCCAAAAACCAAGTTCAAAAGCATCAAAACCGATCCTCTTGGGCTGAATTTCCAGAAAACAGTTGTAAACCTATAGAATGTCATAGTTCAAAACTCAATTTGAGAAATCAAAGCCCAAGGGTGTTTAATTGAAACCCAATTTCAAACCATTTTTCAAGAACAATATGAACATGCAAACATGCATGAATTCAAATCATTTTGAAGTTCCAAATTGATGCTCTAAGGAGCCAATTGTTTCCAAAACATGATGAAATCATGAACTTGAACATAATTGTGAACATGCATGCAATATTTGCCATGAACTCAACTCAAACTCCAACAACACTAACATGCATGCATGAATTATGCTCTATATCAACAACAATGAACCAATTCTAGACTTAATTCCCTAGAGGCTCAAGAATCTTGAATGAATAAGCTTAAACACAACAAAGAGGGGTTGGAATCCTTACCTAGAGCTTCAATTACAAGGTGAGAAAGCTTAATTTGCAACCTATACTCCAATTCCTTCAATTACCAAGCAATTTACAAGCAAAATGAGATGAAATTCACACCTCTAGTTCCTCTCTCTCTCTATGGTCGGCAATGCAAGGAAGAAGGCTGAGGAAAACATTTGATTTAAGTGTAATGAACTCAAAGGTGTATAGGTAGTGGCCCACTCAAGGGCAAGGTTGTAAATAAGTCCAATTCATCTAATTAACTCATTTTAATCTAATTTAATCATACCTAATCAGTTTTCAGATAAAAATACTATAAAATCACATTAATTATGATGATCATAAAACACTAATCAATTTCTGGTTCGGCCGTCGATAAGGCCTTCAATTAGCAGTTTAAACAGCTTCTGATCCTCGGCCACGGACAACTCTTTGTGGTGATTATTTCTACAATTATTTCACTCGTGGCTTGGACATATTATTTGATGGGCAGGTACTGTCTTCCTTCCTTCATGGTGTTAAATCTCTTTAGTGAAGTTGTGCATATTAATCTTTGTTCTGGAAAATTCTCAGTGTATTGTATTGAATTTGCAGACTCATAAAATCAAGAAGTTTGTTTTGCATACCAACTATCCAGGGCATGCAGATTTTAATTCATACATAAAGTGCAATTTTGCTATCTATAGTTCTGATTGTAAGTACCATTCTGTTACTGAATGATTGGGTGGTCATACTAACTTAGAAACTGATACCTTCCCTTTCTAATTTTTTCTACAGTTGGTGGGTCTTTTCATGAGGAAGTAAATGCCTCTAAGCGCTGCATTACACCCAGCACAAAATGGGAGCAAGTGAAGGTGAATTTGTTTTACTGCCATTAGTGATTGTACTATGTTTTCTGTAGAGGAAGTTTCAACCTTCAAAATATCAAAATAGATTATGAAAGTGCAAATTCAATTAATATGACAGAAGTGTATGCAATTGTTTATTGGGTATTTTATTTTTATTCTGTATGTTTTAGCTCATTTGGTTGCTGGGAAGAAGATATTAAATCGGTCCCTTTTATATTTACAAGATGGATAATGTGGCAATGAGTGACTTCCCACCCTATTCTTTGGTTAATTTAATAGCTACAGAGAGACAATTAACAATTGTGTCATTTTTACACCTGTATCTTGTAGTGTTATTTCTTCAATGTGTTCAAACTGGAATTTTCTGGTCAGGATTTCTGTGTTCTGACATTCAATTAGGTTTTAAATGTTTGCATTTCATGAATGCAACCATTATGACAAAGCCCCAAGCGAAAAAGAAGTCCTTGTTCTCTATCAAATTGCAATCCCCTTCTACAACCTACATGCACCTCTCTCCTTCATTTCAAATATTCCTGATTATTTTGTATGCCATTTCTTTTCATTATTTTTTAGTTCTTTCAAGAAACACTTGAATGTAGAATGGTGTTTATTTGGTCTGTTGTAACTGAGGCTTTATTTCTATATTGCAGTTAAATGTTTGTATTGCATGTAATACTTTTGGTTGTTTATGCAGGATGTGTGGACTGAGTTAGGTCGTCCATGTGGAATTCATCAAAAGCAGGTCTCCTCAGTTGCTCTTCTTCTTGAAAACTGAATGTTAGAATTTTGCACATTTGTTATGATATGATTGTACATTTCAGCTACTCATATGAAGCCGTGAGATTCTTATTTTTGGGAATTTGCAGAAATTTATGCTGTGTTTGGTTGGAGGATTTAGAAAGGGATTTGGAAATGGAAAAGGAAAAGATGTGTGAAATTAGGTGAAATGTAGGTATATTTTATTCTTATTTCACCTACCTTTTCTCTTTCCTTTTCCAAATCCTTTCCCAAATCTCTCAATCAAACACAGCGTAAAGGAAACTCACTTCCTAAATATGTCTTGAATATTCATTCCGCCTCCACCGCCACCACTGGCGGCGTGCTGTTTCAGACCTTCTTCACCATACTTATCGTATATGTTCCTCTTCTCACTATCCGATAGCACTTCATAAGCTGATAGTTAATCAAATTAATCAATTAAAACACTCTAAATAAATAAATAAATAAAAACATATATATATATATATATATATGGATATACTCTAACTCAACTTTCTCTAACACATGAACATGTAACAGAGTGGTATTAGGTAGCTACCATTGCTCATCTCAGCAAATTTCTTGTTAGCTTCTTCATTTCCCTGATTTTTATCAGGATGATACTTCAATGCGAGCTTCCGATAAGCTCGTTTAATCTGCTCATCAGAAGCACCTCTTGGAACTTGAAGAATATCATAATAGCTCTTCCTGAAATGATTCACTTACTCTTCTGTCAACACAACACAACAGCACACAAACATGTCTGTCTATACAATAATAATAATAATAATTCAAGCAACATTGAAAGAGACGATCAGTGCTTGCTTACCCTGCAATGGCAATGAGAGCGTGCGATAAAACGCATAGTAAGAATATTAGTTTTGATCTTCGAAGCGCCATAAAACTAAACTACGGCACAGATACAGATTTGGAGATATTCGATCCCCTCCCTCCCGTAATTAAAAATAAAATCTAGGGTTTGTAATTAATCAGATTTGATAAATGCTAATACACCACACAGACCCAACGAGAACGATAAAGAATTTACGAATGGTTTTCAATTCGTTAGTGCAATTTCTCTCTCTCTCTCTCTCTAATACATAACGATAAAACTGAACCGTGTGCACTAGTGAACCGGCGGAGTATCAACGACCGAGTACGTGTTTTTGCCAAAACTGACCAATAAGCGAAAGCTTTGATTTTGCCCCACCCAATCACTTTCAACCACGTCTCAAAGTAGACTTTTTATTCGTTTCGAAAAAGGGCCCAAAAAATTTAAAAAAAGATTCGACTCCAAACAAAAAAATAAAATTCCAATTTATCCACAATGTCATGATAAATATGTTTTGAGTATTTTTTAAGATGCCACCTTATTTAGTTATAATAAATTATTTGTAAAAAAATATTATAAAAAATTAATAAATATATAAAAA